TGCGAGAGACCGCCTCCTCCTCGTCAACGTCAACGACCAGCTTGTCCTTCCGGCTATCGATATCACCCTAGTTTACGCAGGTGTACAGGTACGTATAACACTAGTTTACAAAACTAGTTTTACAAAAGAATGCTTTTTTCAATTATTTTGAATTAGAAAAGGTATTTATAGATTTTTTGGATGCTTAAAATAATGTAACAAGTTAAATTTTACTAACACGTTAGGTTTCTGAAATAATTAATATGCAAAAAATGGTTTTTTTTTTGCGTTATTTGACATTTTTTTGTTGTGAAAAGAGTTAACATTCTTGAAATTCTTCATCAGAAGTCATGAATGTATTGTTTATCCCTTAAAACATATCTTTTTAAATTTCAATATTGTTATGAAGAATCCAAATACAAAACTTGTCTAAAAAAGATCTTGTATTTAAATCCTTCATAACGACTGAAATAAGATATTGAGATAAAAAGAAAATTCATTATTTTATAGGGACAACAATATATTCATGACTATTAATCGGAATTTCAAGATCATGTTAATCTTCTTTTCAAAAGTATGTCAAATATCATCATCAAATTATTAAAAAAGTCATTATTTTGAAAAGTCATTATTTTAAAACTCAATTTTTTGGAAACCTGACGTGCTGCAATTTTTTGGATTATAGCATCGTTTTCAGCATTAAAAAAATCTATAAGAAATACCTAATCCGGTTTGCAGTAATTTTTTTATTGTAAATTAGTGTAATTTTTGTAGTTTTATCTTAAAAATTAATTAATTGCTTTTATAAATTGTAGAATGTTAGATATTTGTATTTTTGGTTGTTTTATATATTCTTTTCTATTTTTTTCAAATTACATCTAATTCTATTCTTTTAATTTACAGCACAAACTAAACTGTTCTATTCTTTTTAGTGTATACCATAAACTATTATTGTATTAACAATTATTTCAGATATTTTTCGTATTTTCAGAACTCGTCAAAACGATACAGAACTTATCAAGCTTAGATTGAATTATTGACTCATGTTCGATAAGTTCTTCGCGAATGTACGGGTAAATTATATATTATTATTCCTATTGCCTTTCGACACGCACGATTAATCATAAATGTCATTTACGATTGTTTGCATCGCAAATTGATACACAGTTTTTATTGCATCGAAATATGTTCGTGTTTTATATGTCGTCCTACATTATTCCAGTTGCTTTCAACAATGCTTTTAATAGAGGTACAATTTTGAAAGCTTAAATGTCAGGGTATGTTTTGCAAGAAAATAATAATGCTTTTCTACTTTGATCATATAATTGTCTTAATGCTTTAATTTAAAAAAAAAACCAACTATTTTAATTCAGAGGAAAAAATATTTATGAGTTTTGTCATGCAAAATACTTTGTTTGAAATTATAGACATTGACGAATGTGCCGAAAAGTTAGATACATGCGGGGACAAGCTCTGCTACAATCAACCAGGTGGTTACAGTTGTTCGATGCCGCCTGTTCCAATGACTAGAAAACCGACTACGACACCGTTGCCGGCTCCAATGAACGAGAAGTGTATACGCGGCACCAGATTCGTGAGGAATCGCGGCTGCGTCGACGTTAACGAATGCAGAGAGTTGGAGGATGCTTGCAGCAGCAACGAGGAGTGCGTCAATACCGTAGGCAGCTATACGTGCACCTGTAAGACCGGTTTTAGACGTGATAATCTCACACAAGCCTGCGTCGATATCAACGAGTGTCAGTTACAGGTATAACAAGGATGACGGGACTCTTCGACATTCGCGTAATGCTTATCACGCGCGATCTGACATTTATGGCGTTAATTTAAAAAAAAAAAGATATAAAAATATTGTGATATCTCGTACATCGAGTCGATGAAGATTAAGGGTGCTTTTCAGCAAAGACACAGTCAGACACTGTGTAATATAGTGAATCGTTTCATCCTTATTTAACGTAGGTACAACAAGGATGTAATGATTCACTGTGTTACACTGGGTCTGATTGTGTCCTTGCTGGAAAGCATCCTAAAATTGCAATCCGACTTATGCTCACAATGCTCTTGGAATCATCTCATTCTTGTCATTCTTTATTAAACAAAAAAAAATGATGCTCAGCTTTTTTGTGGGCGTAAATCGGACAACCTAATCGGAAAGCACAATCTAAGCATGTAAAGTCTACGTTGTCTCAATGCGGAACTTCTCACCATCGATTTTAATATTTTCCATTGAAGGAGAATGACTGTCTGCCGACGCAGAGATGTGACAACACAATCGGCAGCTATACGTGTACGCGATTTTTGCCTTGCGGTACTGGCTACACTCTTAATGCCGCGACGGAGATCTGCGAAGACGACGACGAGTGTGTTCTGGGCACCCACGACTGCGGGTCTGGATACCAGTGTAGAAACACCCTGGGTTCGTACCGCTGCGATCGCACATCGCGTATACCGACTCCGCAATCGCGTACGTCGCCAATGACGACGGCGAGAATCACGACGATTACGACGACGACACCGACGTCGTTGACTCCGATAACTGGTTCTTTAACAAACTGCCCGCTCGGCTTCGAGCTCGGTTCTGGCGGCAAATGCATGGATATAGATGAGTGCCAAAGAATGCCAAATCTCTGCGCCACGAAAATGTGTATCAACACTTTAGGATCTTATAGGTTCGCATAAAATTATTAATACACGGAAAGAGAGTAATCTTGCTCAAGCATCCAAAAATTTAGCTAGATACAGATCTATCTGAAAATAATTATGTTGGAAAATCATCATTAAAATAATTATGTAGGACGTCCAAACAATGCCGCAAAAATTGATTTGATTTTCTAGCAACCAACTTGAAGGTCTAATATAATTATTTGGTCTAACAAAATGTTTAAATCTGTATCTAGCTAAACTTTTAGATACTTCAGTAAAACTATTCTTTTCGTATATAGATAAAAGAAAGATACAGATTAGACGAGGGGAAATTTTGTAGGTGCGGATCCAGATTACTCTGCGGACCTGGTTTCACTCTGGATCCGGTGACCGGACAGTATTGCATCGACGTAGACGAATGTCGGGAGGGAACGCACGAGTGCGGCAAGGGCCAAATCTGTGAGAATCGACGAGGCGGATATCATTGCATCTGTCCGCCTGGTCACGCACTTGGTCCCAATAACGATTGTGTTGACATCGATGAATGTAGTTACGCTATTGGTATTTGCGGACCGAACAGCCGCTGCGAGAACACCGTTGGCTCCTATAGATGTCTATGTGGGGAAGGTTTCGAAAATATTGGAGAAGCATCCGGTACTTGTCAAGTGAGTCACATTATACAATTCCGAATAGATTATAACAATTAATACTCTGAAGTAGTCTTGTCTCGAAATTTAATCGCGATTGTTTCCAGGATATCGACGAGTGTCAGCGAACACCAGGACTCTGTCAACATACGTGCTTCAACGTGTGGGGCAGTTATCGATGTGGATGCCAAGCTGGATTCAGACTAAATGCTGACAATCGTTCTTGCAGCGACATTGACGAGTGTACGGAGTTCAAGGATAATCATCTCTGCATCGGCATCTGCGAGAATACGCCGGGAAGCTATGCGTGCAAATGTCCTGAAGGATATAGGCTTGGTAACGACGCTCGAACGTGTCAAGGTGATGATTTTTAGATTTCTACGTATACAGAAAAACAATTGTACGAAAAAAATAATTAAATGAAGATACTGAATAATTTAATTATATAATTCAAATGGAGATATTTTATGTCAAGAAAAAAAGAGTAATTATGATTCAAAGACTGACATTATACATTTGTGAAGCAATGCGACCGTACGAATCAATGGGATGAAAAGTGAGAGCTCGTTTACGTGAGTCGTGGTCGTAGCTTCGTGAGCATTCCACCTACTTATCTCACAGTTAAAACAGCAATGCAATTTGTACTTGACCCGTTTGCCGACAAACTGGAGCATCAGCTTGGGTCACCGATGCGCACGAATGTTTCTGTAATCTCCTCGATCTCGCGCAATCACGGCATTGTTAGCGGTCACGATATCGTTACATACTGTAACGATACTTAATTGTTTTCTACGTGTGTTCACAGACATCGACGAGTGTGAGGCAGGTCAAGTATGCAGGAATACGGGAGAAATGTGCCAGAATACGCGCGGAAGTTTCCGATGTAATCGGATAAACTGTCCCTCGGGGTACCATCGGGACCCCATGAGAAAAAAGTAAATGATTTGACTTGAGATAATAGATATGCATAAGTTTTCTCTAACTTCAATTCTCGACATATGTCACATTTGTGATATATGCGTTTGAATTTCAATTTTGAATATACAATAAGTAATTATTATTTAATCGACTTGATGATAAATCCGTAAAGAAGAATATTAAAAAGGGACCGATATTTGTAGATTTGGACCTCCCGGATACAATACTAAAAGTTTGGGAAAAAGCTCAAAAATTAAACAAGAATATTGAATTTTGATAAATACATCATTCGTGCTTATCTTTTAAAATATTTCCCAAACGCTACAAACTTTTTAATCGTTTTTTTGTATCTAGAAGATCAAAATCTATAAAAAAAAAGAACACTGTTCCTTCTACTTACACCTTTTTAGGCCAAAATCGGTCTCTTTTTAACATTTTCCTTTTCCATTCGCAATTTTAGTCGCTGTGTACGCTCCTCGAGATTTTGCCGCATGGACGACCTGGCTTGTCTTCGGTCGCCCTCGCATTATTCCTACAACTTCATTACCTTCGTGAGCATGCTGCCCATGCCGTCTACTGGTCAATTGGAGCTGTTCACTATGAGAGGAAGTTATCAGTCTGAATCGACGGTACATTTCACCATGGCATTGGTAGACGTGCGCGCACCACCGGGTGTCGAACGTGCCACGGAGTCCTGCTTTGTTCTGAAGAGACCGGCGCCGTCACAAGCGGTCCTGGTGCTGACACGCACGATTCCTGGACCGCAGGAGATCGAGTTGGATCTCACAATGGAGATCTACCAAGACGCTACGTTCGTCGGAAGTGCCATCGCTAAGATCTTCATTTTCGTTTCGCAATACGAATTCTGAGAAGATAAAATAGAGAAGATATAGATGAACAAAGATGGAAGTTAAGATCGTAAAATAAAGTGACGTAATTTAGAAGTACGCTCAATTGTCCGATTTACGTGATTGCCTCTTTTTCCATAGTGTTACTGTATCATAAGAGCAACAAGCATTATATATTCCAATCTTATTTTACGTTAAACAGTACGTACATATCGGCTCCTCTGGCTGATCTGGATATCATCCTGTATAAACAAACTTTTTTTCCAAGGTAATAAAATGTAATTACCATTTTAAGCAACATATGTTTAAAACTAATAAAACGGATCTTTTTTTTCCTTTTCTGCTCATTTTTAAAACTATAAGTATTAAAAATAAATATACACGAGCTAGCATTTGGATCGTAGATATGTAAAAAGACGAATTAAATGTATATAGATTTCTGTAAGTTAACACACATAAAGGATATAACATAAAATAAACTTGTGTTAGATGATATATGAAATTTATAATAATTTCCAAGCATCCACTTGATACTTTATAAAATCGCAGCTTTATTAAATGTTTCACTAGCGACACTCTCCTCTCTCTAATTTACACGGTCCGCTGTTCGGAACAACGCCTATGCTTCAAATCTAACTCTTCACTTCTCCTTCACAGAAGACGAATAAAGCAATAAATCTGAGATCCTTAGTGT